TTGTCCGGTGGCGTTGCTGAGGTACTCTTGTAGTTCTGATATAGCTTGTTGTTGTTGAATAGTACCAAAAATTCATCACAAATTTGCATCAAGTCCTGTTTGGATATAGTTGAAATACAATCTTTAACTGTGTATGAGTCAAGGAAGTTTAGATAACTGTGAAGAAGGATGCAGCAACTTGCCTGGATCGCAATAACCTGGTTTCGTTGAACTATTTCCTGCGTTTAGACCGAAATGCTTGGATTTTAGCCATCAGGTAGGCTTCAACAAGTTTCTGAGGAAAATCCGAGGAGGAAAGAAAGCAGTAATTTGCAAAGGAAGTTTCTTTTAGTATCAGCTAAGACTGTGGAAGACGGGGTATATGAACCTTTGCTCGCCCTAATCAATTTGCATTTCAAAACTAGAATGCGCCATCTCTTAATTGCTTAGCGTTGCCCTGTTACCCTCAACTCTATGCTAATGAATAAACATCTATGCAGCTTCTAACTGTCTGAAAAACATTATGAACATTGGGTTTCGTAAAGTCTAGTGCTGGTATAGAGCGAAACTGAGTCTGGAATCCATGATCTGGTGATTGTGTGACTGTACGGAAAACAGTCATTTCCATCACAGTCAGTATGTACCCTCTAGGGTCGTGGGGTATCTATATTCCATGAAAACGGTGATATCACCTCTCAGCTTGCAGCCTGCTGTCCGATGAAAACCTGTTATACTGGGTCCCCAACGTAAGAGAACTTTACACTTTGCCAAATATTACTGATACATGGTTGATTCCAACCATTTCAACAGACACCATAATTCATGCCAAATATTCAATTTTTTCGAAATGAACAAACAATTATCACCTTTTGTCGGCGAAATGATGACGATTTTGATACCAGCTGTTTCTTGCCCTTATCCTCAACCACTACGACAGCAGGGAGTATGTCGCACCGACCTGTCATCCTCCTTGCTCAAATATGATAGGTCAGAATTCAACACGATAAATGATGATGTCAATAGCAGCCTAGTAACATCCTTTTCCCTAGCACGTCGCAAAAATTAACTCTAGCCCATGTTTCTCATCACTACGACTCAACGTTACCTACAAAAACAAGTTTTAAGAAAGTGTGTTTGAGTATTACCGCTTCTCTGGTCTTTGCCTGATTAACGCTCGTTCTATTCGCAGTGAAACGAGTGAGATGACTATGTTGTCGGTTGTGTCAAAGTCCTGTTCAGTATTTATTACTGAAGCTTGATGCATTTCACATACTCCTGACACTGATTTCTTTGTTGACGGTCATACTTGTTTTAGAGGAGACAGATATAATGGTAGAGGTAGTGGCCGCTTTCAGGCAGAAGCTGACTAGACAACTTTCAAAACTCGGTAGTAGCCGAGTGTCACCTCCAGTTTATTTTAAAAGCAGCGTTTATTATTGTGGTCAACTGTCATAGAGTGGTCAAAGGATATCAGTGGCTCCTTCTGAGATGAAGAACCCACAAAAGAAAACCCCCGGGCTTCGAGCACAATGAGCGAATCTAACTGAAGCGTTGACTGACAGGAAGTCTACGAAAGGACAGCGATAATTTGTAGGCAAGGCAGATTAAAGAGATGGAAAACGCTACGACAAGAGGTAACTGCAGATAGTCACTTGGAGGTATCAAGGAAGCTGAAGAGAAACGATCAGCGGTCGAGAGACGATAGAGCAGAAGAATGTGTAAGCGACTCACTCGTAGGGGAGATAACTGGAACGATGAATAGAGCATTTCAACTGGCCCCCAGCTACCATTTTGTTGCCCACCATCTAATTGGGGTCTGAACGGAGCAATAAGACAGGATTCGCGACACATAAATAAATAAATAAGTAAATATTTTATGCTCAGATTAAGAGGTCAACATGAGAGACGCCAGTTTACAGGTATCAAGTTGTAGTTGAGCCGTCCTGAATGGTACAGAAGGTATCGCATCATGGTTTGTCATGATAATAAAAGCGACTACAGGTTATGAAAAGAGCGAGAAAATATCACATGACAGCACGCACAGATTGTTTTTGAGTCTCGGTTGTCTGTGTCCGCTATTCTTTTTACACAATTAATTGATACCGAAATCTTACAGTATTCGAGGTTTGCGTCAAATGTGACCTAGATGGTTAACCCGGCGGTGTAGTTCTGTATTTCGTCAGATAAACGTCTATTTTTACATCAGTTAACATGTTTATAGTATCGTTGGCCAACGAAAACTCACTTCATCGATTTCCGGTGACAGTAAGTGTTAGCATAACCACATAATCCACGTGAGTATATAAGTCCTCTCATTTCACACTCATAGTGTGACCTTACTCAGCAATACAGACGTAATCCATCAGAATTAGTTGTTACAGTACAAAGAAATAAACATTTGAAGGACAATTATCCAATGGTGATGGAGTTTTGCGCAGAGTTCACATTTAAGCATGCAGCATTATCAACGAGGTAAGTTGACTATCGTCTTCCATAAAACGGAGTCAAGTGAGATGAAATGCTGGGGAAGCTTGTTTGCGAACATGTCTCACTTTGAGTCACCATGTGAGTTTTTTCCCAGATTTAGTTGTTTTTCCAGGTTTTCGCTGGCATTACGACTGTCCAGAAGCCTTAGATCATTTATTGTAGTCGGGTCTTCGTACATTGTTGCATCTAGGCTGTTGGTAACTGGATGGGTTTGCTGTGGAAACTTTCAGAAAGTTGAAAATCAGTAAGAGAAGACCAGTTGAAAGATTCTTCCAATAATTTCTGGCATTAAGTATGAAGTAGTATATTCGGCAGGTTGACAATTTTGGTCAAATTTAGGCTCAAGGTTTTCTCTTCGAACTTAAGCTGAAAAGAGACGAAGATAAGGAAAGCACGAGCAGAAACCGGAGGATGATATACCATACACGACGAAATTGGGAAGAGAGAAGTTCCTATCTTCTTGAAGACACTAGAGCTATATTCACACTTCAATTTATGCTTACAAAAATGACTTATGATTTTCCTACGTAAAATTCGTACAAGTTTTTGGATATACCGTGTTTATTTGTAGACATATGGGTAGAACTGACTCCACATCAAGGTGATATATACTTTGCTAATGTGTACCTTACTGACTACACAACCCAAGCTAGTGGAATAGCACTCAAACGCTCGGTGGAATAGTGTTAGGGCCCAGTTAGGAAAAGTACTTGGGATTGATGATAGCCACACGTTTAGGGGGTCCTGGTATGTTTTCATTAGCCCAAAACTTATACACGGTGACCAAACGAGTGATAGACTCATCATCTGTGAGGGGCTTATTAAGTGAGAAGCGAAAGACAGATAATGAGCCTCAGAAAGTCTATTCCAGGCGTGAGAGAACTTATTGAGGAAGAAATTACCTTGCACATTGGTCATACAACACTCAGTTTTGCCTAATTGTTTGTGATCACGTATATCGTAAATGGACGTTACAAGTACTTTAATTCCTGAACCGCATGAGTGCACTTGCTTACAAAGTAGTTCATGATAAAGTATTAGATTCATTCTAAGTGGCCTCTTCCAGAGAGGATCTAGTCCTAGCATGTTGCATCTAGAGATGCAATCAAGGTGGTAGAGACCAGGAAGGACGTAGTTAACATGAAACAAG